GAAAGAAAGAAAGAAAGAAAGAGCAAGAAAGAACGAAAGAAAGAAAGAAAGAAAGAAAGAAAGAAAGAAAGCAAGAAAAAGAAAGAAAGAGAAAGAAAGGAAAGAAGGAAAGGGGAAAGGAGGAAAGAAAGGAAAAGAAGAAAGAAAAGTTACAAGCCAGTTAGAAAAGTGAGGCTCCTCTACTTCTTTTGCCCTCACTCAGTCCCATCATGTGATGCCCTCTACCATATTAAGATGCACAAGAAGGGCCTCCCAAGACTCCAGCACCATGCTCTTGGACTTCCCAACCTCCAGAACCATGAGTTAAATAAACCTGTATTTATAAATTACCCAGTCTCAGATTTTCTGTTATGGCAGTAGAAAATGGACTAAGCAGTCTTGAACAAAGTTTTCCTTGCCTGTTTGATTTTACCACTGCAATCTTTGCTTTGATGCTGTTCATTTCAGTCTTCCTTCCCTTAATAAAGACACTTCTTTATTCTAAGCCTGTGCTCTGATTTCACACCCTAGGCTAGCTCTTCATTTACCCCCTCACCCTGCATGGGTTCAAAATCCCACACAAGGCTAGTTCTTGATTTAGTCCTTCACCCCATGCAGGTTTAGAGTCCTACCCCAGGCTAGCCTTTCACTTTAGGCTCCACCCTTGAAAGCACCCCATCGTCACCAGGGCCATCATCTTAGGCTCTGACTTTCGGCTCAGGGCCACCCTGACTCCTCCCCTCTCCCATCACACACATCTAGCTAGCTCTACCCATGTAATGGTCTTAAGACTGAATTATTTGGAAGTGGAAGAGAGAAAAAAAGAGAAGGGAAGGGAAGGAAGAAGAAGTTACTCATTTAATTCAAGACATTCTTGCCCTGGGTATTTATTAGAATATATAAAGGAGCTTTGAACAATTACTGATGCTTGGCCCTATTCCTAGAGATATATGATTACACAGTAGAGGCCCTAGGCATCTGGGTTTTTTCTTTTGGAAAGTCCACATTGGTGTCATGTGCACTGTGAGGTGAGAACCATTGCTCTAATAGGGGTGAAAAGGAGCAGACTGTAGGGGTTACATAGGAACAAGTATCATTGGGACTTGCAGGTGGCATGGTGGTTAAGGATGCTAGACTCCCACATGGCCAACTGTGGTCTGAGTCCCGGAACTGTTGGCTTGCTTTCTCACTTTCCCTCTTTCTTTCTCTCTGGTCAATTTTTAAAAAATAATAATAACAACTAATAAAGTTAAATAATGCTTTTAATTTAAAAAACTGTGGTCTGAGTCCCGGAACTGTTGGCTTGCTTTCTCACTTTCCCTCTTTCTTTCTCTCTGGTCAATTTTTTAAAAATAATAATAATAATAACAACTAATAAAGTTAAACAATGCTTTTAATTTTAAAAAAAATAAGAATAAATGTCATCAGATAAAAGTGATGAATATTGGGACTAGCAGTTAGCATAATGGCTATGTCACTAGACTCTCATGTAGTCGACCGTGGTTCTAGTCCCAGACCCGGTGGCTTAAATTCACACTGGGCGTATGTGCGTGCATGCCCACGCTCTCAAGAGGAGTATGGAGGAGAAGGGATTGCGGTGTGGCCACTCCCCCTGGGGGGGGTGATTTCTCACTTTCTGTCTCTCTGTCTCTCTCTGTCTTTCTGGTAAGCACATGAGCCCTATAACAACAACAAAAAAAAGCGATGAATATTAAAATTACCAGGGAGTGATAAGTGGAGAGCCTATGAAATGATGCTATTGAGAGAGAGAAAAAGCTTAAAGAAAAAAAAAAAAGTGTAGTATACTGAGCAGTATACTTGAAGTAATACTCCTTAGGGCCTGATAAAAGTTCTCAAATATTAAATTAGTATATATATATTTTTTAAGTTTATTTATTTATTTCATGAATGAGAGAAAGAGAAGGAAACAGCACCTAATAGAGCCCCAAGCCAAGAACCAACCTCAGATTTTAACTAGGTCTTGATTATAGGCATGTGTGTGTCCAGTGTATTCAGAGGGGTCTGCAGGACCTTGAATCAGGAAATTTCTTGTGTGTATTGGCTCACAGAACATCATATTCTATCACCGTGCCTCTATCTGGTCACTTGAATTTATGTTTTTTAATATATAAATAGAAAAACAATGAAAGGAAGTAAACAATAGGAAATACAGTGCTTAGATAATATGGATTTTCTCCCTTCTTGATATATTCTTACATTTGTATTTTCTAAGTTTGAAAATGAGCATATATTCATAATGAAAAAATAAGTTTTAAGATTTATTTATGTATAATGATATTTTTAAAAATACGTGTTTAATGTATTCATCTTGATGAGTTTAGGCATGTGCATATACTGATAGCATCACAACAACCAAGTTACTAAACATATTCAACACCTCTGAAATAAAGAAATAATGTTTCTCTTTTTTTTAATGATGAGATAAATAGTGACTCAGCAGGGAGAATAATTTGGAAGCTCTATATTATTTTACTAGGGCTACCGTAACATAGCACCACAAATTGGGTATAAACAGCAGATCGTCTCACAGTTCTGGAGACTGGAAGTCCAGGTTCAGGGGTCACTAGGGTTGATTTCTTCAGAACCCTCTCTCCTTGGCTTATAGATGACTAGTTTTTTCACCTGTATCTTTACTTGGTCTTTTCTCTGTGTATGTCAGTGTCCCGATTTACACTTCTTCTTTTTTTAAAGAATTATTTTATTTAACTTTATTTATTTATTTATTTCAATTTGACAAAAGAGAGAGTGAGAAAGTGAAAAAGAAAGCAAGCAAGCAAGCCACCAGGTTCAGGACTTCAACTGTGCTTGGCCATGTGGGAGTCCAGCACTCCTAGCCACCATGCCACCTGCTGGCTCCCCAAATTTCCTCTTCTAAGGACACTGGTCAGATTGGATTAATACCCACCTTAATGACCTGATTTTAACTTAATTAATTCCTTAAAAATTGTGTCTCCACACAGTGATAGCCTGAGGTACTAAGGGATAGGACGATAACACATGAGTTCAGAAGGGGGAGGGGGCCCCGAATCATCCCATAACAGGCATTTAGATCACACTGAGTTTTTAATGTCCTCCCTGGTGTTTCTATTCTCTTTATATGGTGGGTAGTTGTATTTTGCTTTGGTTGGTTTTGCTGATTTCTTAGCTCTATGACTTAAAAATCTGTGTGGTAAACAGTTTCTAAGCAGTGGTTCAAATTGTTTGATAACTTCCTGTGGTGTAATTTTTTTAATTTTTTATTATCATCATAATCTTGTTTATATTACATTGGCTTGCATATAACTTTACAGTGTATGACATTGCTTTTTCAAAAGGGAATGCCATGCATGTCAGTCAATACAGAGACATTAATCTCCCCACTTCATCACTCAATATCTTTTCATTGTTTTTCCCAATCATTATTACTATTATCCAATTAGTTTTTTTTAAACAGTCGATCACTATTTCTCATTTGGCTTGTAAAAAGACTTTACCCATCATGAAGTACTTCTCAGACCAATCCAGTTGAGAATACTATACATGTCATCATCAACAGTTAATAAGCCATATCTGTTTCTCACTAACGTCCTGCCTCTCTATTGTTCTCTTGCTATCTTTCTCTATCCTCTTCTCTTCACACCCCTCATTCCACACCTGTGACGTAATTTTTTAAAAGTATTTTATACTTACCAAATCCAAATAAATACGTTATCAAGCAAAACTGAAACTCTCTGCATTTCTACTTCCTCATTCTGCCTCTGAAGGAGACTGCCCCCAGGAGGAGTCAGGGCAGCAGGAGACCAGAGAGCTTCACAGCTTAGTTACTTTGGTTTTCTAAAAAAAGGATCCTTAAACATTCTGTCTCCTAGCAATCAGAAGAGGAGTAAGAAAGCAAACGCTTAAAGGACCTATTTCAAGGTTCTGATATAAAAAGAGGAAGTTTTCAGGAAAATGCTGGTAAGTTACTGAATCATTAAACCTTTATTTTTTATGCTTATGGGGGGGACAGCTATTTTTAAAAACTCCAGCTGTACTTTTTATGTAAATGCATGTTCATACATAAACAATTACTTGTAAAAATGTAATTAGAAATAGCAATATATTAAGTACATATCAGTACGCATAACTGACACTGACTTTGTAAGTGCTATTCTAAATGTACCACTAGGTATAATTAGGGTGATGAGAACCAGATAGGATAGCAAGAGAGTTTCCGGTCCTGCAGATTGACAGAGGAAAAGAGGACAGAGAAACGATACAAAGAGGATCAGCCATTGAAACATACAAAGATTGGAAAGGAATTTGTAGTCTTGGGTAATTATGCCAAATTCTGCCTTCTGTCATGGAAGATGTTACTAAACATGCTATGCTTCATCAAAGATAATACCCTCCAGAGGCTAACTGTTCGATTTAAGTCTTTTCTTCATCTCCATCTCATACAGAAATTTGATTGACAACTAAAACCATTCAAAGTGCATCTCAGGAAAACGAAACTAACTTGCTGGTTGTGTTACTTTCATTTCGTCAGACTTCAGGAGGAGGGTGTGGGTAGCCCTCCTGGGCTGGAGCCAGGATTCTGTAGTGTCTTTCCCCCCCCCTTAGCTCTAAGAGTCCTTTAGAGCAGAGCAACTCCTCAGAGGCAGGGTGCTGGCGAGGCTCCCTCCCTCAGATGGGGTGGGTACCCACGCTTGTCCCTCAGCGCTCTGATGGTTTCCTATTGCCTCTTCAACCTCAGAGGAAAAAGCCATGTGCTCCCTAGAGAATGGCAGCCCGCTGCTCCCATGTCAATAATTAGCTTTATAAGATTTGTGTTCACAATTGTTCCAAGGAAGATGCAAGTCCCTAGAAAGACAGGAATTATGTCAAGGCAGTCTCAAAATCTGCCCACACTGATCGTGCTCATAGTGATCTGTACTCGGTTCCAATGTACATGTATGCAGCTGCTCTTAAAATGAATAGAGTGCAAGTTATGTGAAAGCACTACTGAATGTTTTACATTCAGATCATTATATCATCAACAGCGATTGTGTTGGAAGGGCAAGGTTGAGAATTGTTGGACTAATCGGTTGAAGGATGTAAGTGCGGTTCCTTTTGCAGCACCTCCTACACTAGACAGACACCCCGATGAGTCACTGGCTGTGTAAAGGCTGAAACATTGTAAAGAAGAAGAATCAGCTACAGAGAGACGTTCCTACTTCATTTCTAGGCTGGGGGTTTCTGTTGGAATTTCTGTATTCACTGGCTAAAACAAAAGAGAAAATCTGGAGTCCGGTCTCTCCTTTTTTTTTTTTGGAGAGGTTTTCGCTATAGGGAGCGTGCGCTCGCCAGACAGACAGAGAGAGACATAGAGACAGAAAGCGAGAAATCACCCCCCAGGGGGGATGGTCACGCCGCAATCCCTTCTCCATTCTCCTCTCAGGATCTTGGGCACGCACGCACACGCGCCCGGCGTGAGATTTAAGTCACCAAGTCCGAGACGCAAACCGCGGTCGAATACGTGGGAGTCCAGCGACATAGCCATTACGCTAACTGCTGGTTCCCCGTTCTCTCCATCTTTAAGAGATCCACAGAGAGGCTGATGGTTAGATTACTGCAAAAGTATTGTCTGATCTGAACATCTCAGCCCCTCGCCACAGCAGAGGCCTCAGGTGAAAACCACAGTGGTGCTGACTCGGATACTGAGTGCCCAGGGCAAAAAGAGTCCCTCTAGGGGAATCCTATATGAGAAATACCTCCTTTAGGGACTGCAAGTGACACACTGAAAATTAATAAAGTGTATTATAAAATGGGGGTTCTCACAGGACTGCAGGGAAAAAAACCGTATTTATTTATTTTCCTTTTTTTTTTTTTTTTTGATAGAACTTCCTTTTTATTCTTTGTGACCAAATAATAGAAGCTAAAGTTAGTTCTGGTCCACTGGGTAACACAGGAAAGATTTCCCCAGATTTCTGTCTGTGATTTCAGCCAAGTGAAATCACTGCCGTAGTCGTAAAATAAAGTACTTTGACCCACAGACATTGCTAGCCTAAGGATTTCAACAAACTCATTATTTATGTTACTCAGTCAACACATTTTTGTCAGGAAGCTATAATGGACTAAGCATTGTAAGATAAAAATCCTTATTCTTAAGGAGTGCACAGAATAATGGGTAGGGCAGAAAATAAACATAAATAGATAAAAGGTATGTGGCTATTCTATTATGATTAAGTTTTAATTTTTTAATTTTTAATTTTTTTAAAAGATGTTTGTCTTAAGGCATGTTCAGTCTCCAAGAGAGACAATAAGAGGGCAAGAGA